ACACACACACACACACACACACACACACACACACACACACACACAGTCTGCAACTATTCCTTAGTGGTAGCATAGCTTTAAAATCTTAGTTTTTAACATGATACTGTGGTTCAAAAGACTTCCTTTTGGAATTCAGTGAAAAGTTTTAGTGTTAGATTTATTTTCAGTACTTTTATCCTTGGTTTTTAGTGCCTGAAGTTTGTTTTGTCTTATTACATTTTGGTTTAAGCATTGCCAATAGATATTTTATTCTCTCCCCTTTTGTTTCTAGAACCATATCCCTTTAGCAGTACATATGTGGCATGCAGGCCTCCTCTGAGGCTTTTGTTTTTTTAACCCCATCAGCTGATCTCTCTGAGTCTCATTTTTCATTCATTTTCATGTTATTTTCACTTTTTATTCCTAGCAGTTCTATGAATATTGAGTAGATGTGCTAAAGCTAATAAAACATTTATTCTAGCAAGTTTTTTCTCCTATAGAAAGCCACTCATAGAATCCATCTCCTGTTTAAGAATCAAAGATTGTTTCATTTTCAACATAGAAATCCTGTGGGAGAAATTAGTTAAAATTATGGATAAATTAGTCAGTGGGTTCATGTGACTCGATTTTCCTTAAAGGGGTTCATGTTTGCCAGAAAAGAGGTAGTCTGATCAAACTAATTTTTTCTTTTACTAAAAGTTTAAACATTGCTTATATGTAGTTCACTTTTCGAAATGTGGAAAATCATTAAATAGAGCTTTTCTCATAGTAATTACAGACACTGCATTAGCAGAAGATCAATTTTCATGTTAATATTAATGGTCTGTAAAATCTTTAGGATTTTAAGGCACTCAATTTCTAGAAGTCCTAGTAACCAGAGACACGGCCATCTTCTGAATTTCATAAGAATGCATTGATTGGTGTCATAGTTTCTGATTTTAGTTTCATTTTGCACAGCCCTATAGTTGTAAAGTAGAAATCAGTGACAATCACTCTTGTAGAAAGTATTAGTGCTTTTGTTCCTAAGAAGTGCTTTTGTCCATGGGAAGCAATACTCCCATGTAATCATGCTTTAATTATTATCTTGTATATTAAAATTAATTCCTTCGAGGAACCTTTTTTCTGCCTTAAACCTTTACACTCAACTTATAGAGCATATAGTAATTATGAAAGCAGTCACTTTCATTTTTCCTTTGCTTATCAATGTTTTTGATTAACATTCAATGCTTAAACCCTCCTTAAACTATAATACCACCTACATGTTCAATTAAACTGCAAACACCTAATGGAGCAGACTTATAAATATGACAAACCAAATCTTAGAAATTGCTCACGAGTCAAATACAGGTAACTCTACCTAGGGATACAGGTAGTAAAAATACACTTAAACGTTTTTAAGCATCTGTAAAACAGCCTAAACAAAGAGCCCAGTTATTACAAAATGTGTTATTACACCTAGGTATAAACACCATTTACACAATGTAATCAGTATAGGATTGTTGAATTTCATTTTCTCTGTACTTATTTTGACATTTTCCTTGGTTTCATAAGTCCTCACCTAATCTAGACCAAGACCGGGCATTTTAGGCCAGCCATGGTTAGTGGAGTAAAACTGCTATGGATCATGGAACTGTGGGTGACACTTTGTGGTGACCATGTGAGGCTTTCGCAGGGACTAAACAACAAACCTTGAGACTGGCAGTCTTGGGACCTGGGTGTGACCATCCAGATGCTGGTGGAGTACATTTCTTTTTGTGGTCAGTCTCCCACCCGTCCCCCCACCCCACCCCCCCTTTTTTTTTTGTCAGTTGAGTTAAAAATCCATGCTCTTCAACTGGGTTTGAATCCGTTACCTACATGTCTCTTTTTTGCAACCTGGTGTATGAGGGAGGTTTCTAAGTTCTTGAATATTGCTCATCTCAGATAGATAAAACCCTAATTTAAGTGTTGAATGCCTTCTCCAATAGGAGGCAATCTCTCCCCTTTCTGTCCTAAAATCCTGTTGTGTCTCATTGACCCTCTGTTCTCAATTTGTCAGGAATAATGTCACTAAAAAAATATTGGGGAAAAAAAATGTAGAGTTGAGGTATTGCTTTATTGGATTTTTTGTTGACGGCATAATAGGTTATACAAAGTTTACCAGAAACCAAACTAACTAAACCAATTGCTAAAATATCCAATCTGAGCAGGCATACATAGTAATTTTTAAAAAGAAAACTTCTGATTTTTAGATTTTGAGAAGCGTATAGACATTCTCATTAAAGGGAGAATGAAATTATATCTTAATTTCTTAGAAAATTCTTATTTTGGGTCTTGTTGACTCTAATTTTTAAAAAGATGCATGTTTTAAAAAGATGCACCTCCTGTTGGCAGGTGAAGCTCATTCCCACACATCGTTCCTAGCCAGGCACAAATATTAAATTTACAGAATGTCTCCAGTTGCATCAAAGTAATTGGTGTTAATTTTCATATAATTAAAATTTAAATAATTTCTAACCTCTAGCTCTTAAATCTTGGAAAGCACAGATCCAAATTTTGATGCTTTTGATTTTTCCGAAAATTAAAAGCTCTCTGTTCTCATTCTTTGCCTTTGAAAATAATATTTTAGACTAAATTTTGAAACCACTCAAAGTTGGTAGGTGGCAAAGTGACTTCCCAAATACGAACCTTGTGATGAAATCTCTTTTTAGTTTGAAATTTCTCTCTTGTTTTGCTGTACAAAATGTTCTGTTCTGGTTAAGAGATGTGCCTTTAACTTTCTGAACAAATTTCCAATGAAAAAGTCAGTTGGAAAGAAAAAGGAGCTATAAATAATTTTAAATTCCTTCAACATTGTATGCAAATCTGACACGAGTTCCCTTCTCTTTTAGTTCTTAGAGTGTTGATTGCTCTTCTAAAAATAGGATGAAAGTGGAAGAGACACTTCAGTGATTGAAGGAATACTAGTCTGAGATGCTTTTATCTTTCAGTACTATGTAGACCTGTGTCTTTTTCCCTTTACAAAGGAAGAAAAAATGTATCCAGGAAGTTGGTTGAAAGAACCTATCTACAAAGAACACCAAATAATAAAGTTTGTTAACATGTAGAAATAAAATATTTGAAACAATAGCACAAAGGTTGCATGGTGAGGCAACGAACTTCTGCTCTTGTAAGACAGCTGATTACATCAGATAGGAAGTGATATAACAGGAATATGAATTAGACTGTGATGAGTTAAGGATACGTATTTAATTCCCTAGAGCAACCACTGAAACAATAAACAAACTGAAATTACAAGGTATAGCTAGCTAAAGAGCCATTGGTGGAGATAAAATTGAATACAAAAAATGCTTGATTAACCCACAAGAGTGCAGGAGAAGAACATGGGAGAGAGAAGACACGTAGAAAATGAGTAGCAAGGAGGCTGGGCGTGGTGGCTCACACCTGTAATCCCAGCACTGTGGGAGACTGAGGTCAGGAGTTTGAGACCAGCCTGGCCAATGTGGTGAAACCCTGTCTCTACTAAAAATACAAAAATTAGCCAGGCGAGGTGGCATGCGCCTGTAATCCCAGCTACTTGGGAGGCTAAGGCATGAGAATTGCTTAACCTGAGAGGCAGAGGTTGCAGTGAGCCAAGATAGCGCCACTGCACTCCAGCCTAGGCGACAGAACGAGACTCAGTCTCAAAAAAAAAAAAAAAAAGATAAGTAGCAATGAAGTAGACTTGAAGTCCACCAATAACAATAGCTACAGTAACTGGCAAGGATCCAGGACTCCTGCCCTTACGCATCCAGAATTTTAAGTGTTTCAGCATGGCCACCTCCAGGAAACTCATTGCTTCTAGGTCTCAGATTTGTGGAGAGGACGTTTTCTGGCGTGCTACATGGCTTATTTCTGTCACCACTCCCAAACACCCACCTCTTCACTGGCTGCTAATAGAGTGGAAAAAGCAGAAACCTAAGTTATCATTTGTCCACCAACTCTCCTGCTACCAAAATTTTCCTGATAGCATTTGCTGTCATCTTGTTTTCTTTGTCCTCATGGGCTTATTCCTTTTGTTTGTCCCACCCAACCTTTTTAAAAAATCCCTTCTAGCCTTTCAGTTGGGGTTGCAGAGGAAGCAGAAATGAGTATGTGTGTTTAGTTCATCATGATTAAACTGAAATCCCAAAGGATTTTTTGTTATTTTTGAGACGGAATTTCGCTCTTGCCACTCAGGCTGGAGTGCAGTGGCATGATCTCGGCTCACTGCAACCTCCACCTCCCAGATTCAAGCAATTCTCTTGCCTCAGCCTTCCAAGTAGCTGGGATTACGAGTGCCTGCCCCCACGCCCGGCTAATTTTTGTATTTTTAGTAGAGACGGGGTTTTGCCATGTTGGCCAGGATGGTCTCAAACTACTGACCTCAGGTGACCCACACACCTCAGCCTTCCAAAGTGCTGGGATTACAGGTGTGAGCCACTGCGCCCAGCCTCTAAGGTGGTATTTTTAATCATTGTTGATGTATAAGGTCCATATTAGGATAAGCATAAATTAAATTTGGGAATAAAGGGGACAGATGTACCAGAGTATATGGACTCACAGTTGAAAAGATTATAAAGGCCATTCATTCTAACAATCCTTAGCATCTGCAGTTGTGAGAATTAGAATTAGTATAAGTTGAGGATTACAAACAAATTGTAACCATTATACGTAGTTTAACATGATTATTTCATGTAGCAGGTGAATATCCTGCTTCTACTTGATTGATACCAGCAACAGGCAACCTGTCCAGTCAGAATGTTTCTCATTTTGAACCAGCATCACTTTCTTGT